GGACATTTTATCATGCACAGACCTGTACCTCTGAGGGCTGTCTGAGACTGTCTTGTGTGTGATGACTGATCCTGGTGTGATGGGGCCAGATCCCAGCATTTTCCTGGACATTCAGGTGTGATCTCTGCCCACAAACAATCCTCTTACTTCTGAAGATAAAACATGGCCTCTGAAGAGTTGTGACCTGTTCTGAGTCCAGTCAGACTGCTGCGAACAGCAGGTTGTGTGTCTGTGTCTACCACTGCCTGTGAGCTCCAGTGTGGTCACCTGAACAGTGCCAACCCAACAGTGCACCATCCAAACCTGATTTTGAGCCCTTGCTGGCCTGAATGGTCTTTGCTTGTCACGTTTGTTAATGTCCTCAGCTTGTCCAGAAGGCCCAGTGCTGCATTTGAGAGTGGCTCATCAATGAGCACAGTCCTGCAGGACTTTACTCATTGATAGAGCTGCTTGAAGACGGAAAATTGCACTCAGCAATGGAGGAACTGCACCAAGCAGAGCAGGCATCAGGCTGGTAGGTGGTCAGGTTGCTCCCTGGCTGTGAGAAGTCAAGCTCTGACTAAGGTTGTCTCCAGGCTGCCATGAAGCAGCGGCTTGCAGTACGAAATCTAATGCAGTTCAGGAGTTTTATGTGAACTGGAGCCAACAGAGAGGCAGGAGCAGAGACAGATGCTGATGAGGAACAGCTGAGGCCAGCATGATCTGGGATCTCAGAGTTGCTATGATCCAGTGGGCTGAAGCCCAGGTTCACAGACCATGGCTGTGTCTCAGTGGGTCACCCTGTGATGTACCTGGGATCTCTGCCCCATCCTAATGCACACACCCTGGAGCACAGCCTCCTCTTCTGGAGGGGTGTAAGTGCAGGGAGGGGACAGGGCATGCCTGAGGCTTTCAGGGACACGCAGTCAGGAGATGACTTGCAGAGTGGTTGGATGACTTGCAGACGGTTTACAGAGTTGCTTGTTCCCTCTTTGCAATGCTGCAGTGGGTGCTCTCCTCAATGAGCTGCAGCTTTGTCCTCCTCCACCTTACACAAGAGCAGTGTCCCAAAAGGGGAAATGGCACCACTTAAAGAGGGACCTTCTGAACCCTTTTGCCAGTCACCTTTTGTAGTGGTGCCTGGGCACCCAGAACACAGCAGGAAGCAGATGTCATAGGGACGAGATGTGCTCCTGCCAGTGTGTAGGGACCTCCTTGCCTTCATCCTGCAGGGTTTGGTACAGTTATTCAACCTTTTGCCAAAATCATACTGTATGTTGTGATTGAAAGGACCTTTTATGAAAAGAAAAATACAAGAATGGTTTAAAATGACATGTGAGGATTGACTGCAGTGCCCAGGGGCTTGACAGGAGCTGTCCTCAATACCAGACTAAGAAAAGCCATCCTGGACATCACGGGTAAATGCAGCATGTCTTTTCCTGCTCCCAGTGAGCAGAGCTGAGGCTTTCCTAAGCTTGAGGCTGAATGAAGAACTTCTTGTTTAATACCAGGGTGGCCATGTGCCTAGAAAATTATCAAACCCTGTGTGCAACTTTTTTTTGGCCTCTCTGTTTCATGCTATGATGATGAGTTACTGGAGGTAATTATGTGCCATGTGAAGAATCACTGCTTCTTGTCCCAGCCCCGTCATCTGAAAGCTTCTCTTGCTGCCCTGCTGTTGTGAAAAATAGCACTGTCCAGCACCCCAGTGGTTTCAGAGTTCTCTGATGCATTTTTCTTAAATATTGTTTGTCTCTGCCAAAATGGTTTCATTTTGGAACCAGTCCATGCTGACGGTGGCCTGGAAAGTCTCAGTCTGTGTTACTGGTTGGAGGAAGGACTTGTAATGCAAGGGGAGCAGCAGGATCCAGCAGCAGCGTGACAATGGGTTCTGCTTTAGTACTGACTCCAGATACTTCCAGTGATCATCTCTGAACACCGAGCTCAGACTTCATAAAGACACTGAGATCCAATGGACATTCAACCAACACCCTACAGCACTTCTTAAAGCCCCACTCTGCATCGCTCTGTACTCAGCTGTGCCTCTTTGGGCTTTTAACAAGCCTGAATTACTGTACTTCTTCCCTGGGCTGCAGAACCCAGGGTTTTATCTCTCTGGCTCACCTTGGCTACAGAAACAAACCCATGAGCAGGACCGGGAGCCCCAGAAGTTGCATTGGTCCCTGTGTCACAGCTGTGTGCCTGGAAGAGCTTTCCCATCCCAGCCGGCTGCAGGGTGCACCCATGGGATCGATCACTGGGGCTTACATCCCCTTTCATATGTGTGGCAGGAGAATCAAGGCTGATGATGGTGGAGTTGGCACCACCCCATGTCCCTCTGCAGGTCCTAGATGGGACAGCGTGACCTGGCCAAAGCCTGCCCAGCATCAAGATGTGCAGAAGGGTCACTGTGGCGTCCTGCTCCTCACAGCCCCATGCAGTCCCAAGTGCAGCTCTGACTTGTCTCCATCCTTCTGGCATCCCAACCAGCCCCAGGCAGGTTTGGCAGGGCTGCAAGCCCCTGTCCATCCACAGAGTCTTCCTCTTGGTCTCCCTGCAGCATCCCGCATCTCCCAGGCCCTCCGTCATCCTGGCTGATCTCTGTACCCCTCCTCACAGGTCCAAGGTCCCTTCTGCAGCCCCTGTTGTCAGCAGAGGTAACAACCTCCACTCCCAGCTGTCATTTGGGTCCTTATACATAATGCTGAGTGTCATCTCCAGTAGATCCTCAAACATGATCTTCATTCAAGAGGGTGCCATTTATTAACTTGAGTATGGTCTCTCTGCTGCCCTTTTGTGCCACACCAAACTTGTCTCCTCTCCTGCAAAGAACAGCGCTGCATGACAGCATTAACACCTTACTAAAGTAACGTTAAAGTAGATTAAAGATAGATAGTGTCTGTGCATCCCATTCCATTTTCATGGCCTTTTAGTCTGTAAAGAAACAACTAGATTACTTTGGCACACTAGCCACTACTGACAGTTCCTTGTTTCCCTCCTTCTTCTCCTGCATGTACACAGACTTTCTTCCAGAATTTGAAGAGTTTGTGGCCTATAGCTTCCCTTTTTTAAAGGTTATCTCCATAACTGTCCTTTCCCAATCTTTCTTTCATGACAGACCTCTGAATCCTCTGCAGTAAAGTTAGTAGTCTCAGCAATGGGAACATTTCTTGCTTGCATCAGTATTCTTTGGGCTGCCAATAACTACTAGGGCCACACTCAGTCTCTTTGACACTGATAGTAATTAAGAAAGCCCCTTGAGCACCATTTCCCTTTTCAGGTCATCTGCAACCACTGCTTTTGGAAATAGAAACCTCAGCCATGTCAAACATTCCTTCCCTCAGCCCAGCTACCACACTGGGATGTGCATCCAGGGGAACATCTGTCTGTGATGTCCCAGTGCTGGTGGGAGCATGTAGGTTCAGGACAGAGGCTGGTCCAGAGTCAAAACCTTGGCCTGTTCAGAGGTGCAGAGATGACCAAACCAGCAAACTCTCATGCATGGTGCTCCAGGAGGGCAGTGAGAGCAGACAGCAGCTAGCCAGGTCAGAAATGCCCTTGGGTCCAGTTCTGACCCTTCCTGAATCACTGGAGCAGAGACCTGCCACCCCATATACCCTCTTCCCAGTCTCTTGTGTACTCACTCCAGTGTCCATGCCCTTTTCCTTCTCACTTCCGTCTCTGAGAAGCCATCATGGGTCCTGCCCGTCCAGCCCAGCAGACCCAGTCCCCTGCTCTCTCCGAACACCCTGGGCTGCTGGGGGTTTTATCCACAACAGATCCAGTTGCTGCTCAAAGTTGTGCCAAAGCAGCAAAGTCCCTTAGCAAACAGCCATGGTGTGGCTCCTCATCCACTGTGTCTGCAGCTGCCTCACAAGGTGAGCAAGAAAGCTGCCGACAGGAGTAAGCACACTGGGAGAAGGATTTCTGACACAAGGACAAATACAGGACAACTCAGCAGAAGGGACTGGCATACTCTGGGCTAACAGATACACTGTGCACTGGAGAGGACCCTTTATGGTCATATCGTTGCAGTGGAACACCCATTGCAGCACCAAACTCACCCCTGGGACCCTCTGCTGCAGGATCCTGGGCCAGCCTGGACTGCAGCTAGGAAGCTGCCAGGCAGAAAAGGACCTGGGGTGTTGGTTGACAGCAACTGAACAGGAGCCAGCAGAGTGCCCAGGTGGCCAAGAAGGCCAACGCCATCCTGGCCTGCAGCAGCACTGGTGTGGGCAGCAGGAGCAGGGCAGGATCCTTCCCCTGTGCTGGGCACTGCTGAGGCCGCCCCTCGAATCCTGGGGTCAGTTTTGGGCCCCTCACTCCCAGAAGGACATTGAGGGGCTGCAGCGTGGCCAGAGAAGGGCAAGGGAGCTGGGGAGGGGTCTGGAGCATCCGAATGATGGGGAGCGGCTGAGGGAGCTGGGGGGTTCAAGTGGAGAAGAGGAGGTGAGGGGAGACCTTATCCCCTCTGCAGCTCCTGAAAGGAGGGGGTAGTGAGGGGGGGGGTCGATCTCTTCACCAAAGCAACAAGTGATGGGACAAGAGGAATGGGCCTCGAGTTGTGCCAGGGGAGGTTTAGGTTGGATATGAGGGAAAATTTCTTTACTGAAAGTGGTCCAGCCCTGGCAGGGGCTGCCCAGGGCAGTGGTGGAGTCCCCATCCCTGTAGGTGCTCAAGAAACTGTGGATGTGGCAGGTGGGGGCATTGGTTTGGGGCCATGGTTTAGTGCCCATGGTGGGGTTGGGTTGGCGGTTGGACTGGATGACCTTCGAGGTGTCTTCCAGCTTTAATGATGCTGTGATTCTGTGCACCTCACTGCCTGCAGCCTGCAGGCTCGCTTAAGAGCCCAGAGTGCCCGCATGCTGCTCTCCAACCCCTCAGATGACACTGTGCTGCTTTCCAGCCCCTCCAGCTTTCCAACAAGAGTCCAGGATAGCTTCAGAAACAAGAAGCAATGTCCTGCATTTTTTGTCAGGCTTTTTTTTTCTATAACAGAGTTTTCTTTTTTCTAATTATAGGATGTTGCAGAACAATCAACTGAATCGCATCCCTGCAGAGGCACTGAGGGATCTTCCAAGCCTCCAGTCTCTGTAAGTCATTAAAAATCAATGCTGTGAGCTGCACAGTCCCTTGGGGGCCTGGACTTCCCAGCATTTGAGTCATTAGTTCCTTTGTCAAAGATGTTCTGTCCCCTCTTCCTTTTCTTTTCCAATTAAAGCAAAAATTACTGTCACTTAGCGTAGAAGGGAGGGGAGGGCGGTCTTCATGGAAGGAACAGTGTCTTGGTAGAGGATGTTGAAATTACAGCTCCCCATGTGCGCGTCGTGATGAAAAGGCCACCAGCACCAATGTGTATTTTGAGGAATGCTGGAAAATATCGACCGAGAAGTGGCTCTGTCCTCTCCATTGTGAGCCACAATGGGGAAGGGACCTGCCAGGAGCACAGATGACACCCTGGTCTGTCAGTGGTTGTGCTGTTTTACCCAGATAGAGGGGAGTTATATCAGAGTAGAAATGCTCTAAAACACCTGTAGTGATTCAGCCATGGGAAGAAGTTGAGGGTGTGACCATGCTTTTCCTTCAAAGTAACTATATCTGCAGCAGGTTTGTGCTACTGTATTCACTAAAAATCACACATTGCTGCAATATTTGCAGTTTTCCTGGGTAGAGATGCACTGGCAACCAGATCCTGGTACTGCCACTGAATTTAGGGCAGGTCTGTTTGGTCGTTGCCCCGCTGGTCTAAGCAGCACTGCCAAAGCTTGTAAGAGTGTTCTGAATTGGGCTGAACCACTGAAAAACTAATCTATAACTAGTGTTACTGCATCTTTGTACCATAGGAAAGTCGGCTGGAAGTGGTTTCTGGGGTCTCCTGGCCAGGCTCCTGCCTGGAGTGGGACCATCACCAATGTCAGATGGGGCGGTTGCAGCTTTGTCTATCCAAGCCTTGAAACCCTCCAGGCATGGAGATTGCCCCCGCACTGGGGACCTGGCCTGGGGCTGTCCCTCCTGGGGAAGGAGCTTTCCCTCAAGTCCAACCTAAAACTCCTGGAGTGCAATTTGTGGTCATTGCTCTTCAGTCACTTGGAACTACCCTGAAGCGCTCAGCTCCATCATCTTTAGCTGTGGGTGCCTGGCAGATCTCCTCTTGGCCTCTTCTCTGCCAGGTGAAACCAACCCAGGTCCTCCCTTCTACTCGTGGGGAAGTGCTCTGAGATCCCGAATCAGCCCTCAGCCCTCCACTGGACCTGTCTGCTTCCCCTTCACCCTTTTTGCACTGGGCAGCCCAAAACTGGGCACAGTTCTCTGTGTGTGGCACACACAGTACTGTGTGTGGCCCTCTCGGCACCAAGTATGAGTTTCTGTAAATATTAACTTAAATGTTAATTTGCAATGGGAGTGTTGGCTGTGCAAGATGTGACTGTTCTTTCTGCCAGGAGAGATCTGAAACAGTTGTTGCTGAAACTGGTCCATGGTTGCGGCTGTCACGAAGATGTGTTGACATCACCACCAGTGCCAGAGTCAAGAAGCCCCACCCCAGGGATTGGGAAGTTAGGTTGTTTGCCAAGTGACTTCCCTTTCACGGGATACGTGACATGGGAGGTCACTGCCATGGGGCTGCCCCAGGAGCACCCCTTTCCCTTCAGCCCACGAAAAACGTGAATCAACCAGTGCCACCAGAGCCCATGGCTGCACAGACCCAACCTTTGCTTCTGGAGGCTCAGCTGCCTGCAGGCACCACTGTGGCCTGGGCACACACTGCTGATGGGTGGCCACCTCAGCCAGCCACATGCTCCACACCAATGGCCAACAGCCCCCAGCAAAATACCACATAGCACACAAGCACTCTGGGGCTTTGTTTAAGGCTCAGTGTGAGAGGATGGCTGATCTCTTCCCTGTCTGAGCTACCTGTTAAAGGATGGGCAGAAGGTGCCTCTCAGAAAGACCCTGATGGCAGATCACCAAATGGCTGCAGTAAAACCTGTCCTCAGCATGCAGAGCACAGGAGGTCGTTATTCTTCAACATTGTTATTCTCAGTGATAATTATTCTCCAAGAGGACAGGCAGAAATCAGCTTTGCCCCACGCTAGCACTGCACCAAGCCCTGTCTGTGTCTCTAGCTTGGCCACTTGAAAGTGTGGAGAGCACGTGCAGAAAAAGAGGAGAATTTGCACTTTCTCCTCTTTATACATAAACTGTACAACAAAGAGCCCCTGGGCACAGTGAAGGTCCCAGAACCGTGTCTGGTCACAGAGCCCAGCATGGCTGTGAGGCATAGCCCTGCTCTGGGTGATGGGAACATTTCTGAAGACACACAGTGTGCATTATGAGAGGCTTCTGCCACTGCTGCACCTCACCCTGGGGAGAGCACGAGCTGCTGGGTCTCCATCCCATGCTTCTCCAGCAGTGCTTGCACAAGGAGAAGGCAGTGCTTGCAGAGCTTTGCAATTCTCCTTCCAGCTCATGTTTAGAGATGCTCTTCTGGAGCCGCCTTTTCCTTCTCTCTCCATTCCAAAAGGGAAATGCTCTATGAAGATAAATGAGATCTGATTTGAAAAGCAGAAGTGGCACAGTGTGGTCAGCAGATACAGAGCTAAGATGCTCTGCTTGGTTCTCACTGGTGCTGCCATGACTTCTCCAAATGTAGGTAGTACGCTCAGACCAAGAGTCTCCAGTACAGGTCTGCATTAGGGGAACGTATTTTTCTTCTTTTTCAAATATCTGAGTCATTTTCCACAAGTTTATGAGACTCTTGTGTTTTCGTTGCCAAAAAATTATCCAGCCTGGAACACCCACAGGTCACCCACAGAATGGTTTCTGAGCATCACTGGTCAGGCTATCTGAGAACCAGTGTGCTCATGTTGCCCAGAGACTATTTTTTTCCGTTCAGAAGGGGAAGTGGCTTTATGGCACGTCAGCCTATGAGTTACCAGACTTGCATGGCACTTTGTGGAATATTAACTGTCTGCTTTGCAAGTTGGTAGCACATGCTAAGCAGGCAGGAGAGCCGAAAAGGGGGGTGAAAACAGGAGCCAAGAGGAGTGGGGTGGAACAGGCAGCTGTGCTGAACAGAACAGGATTGTGCGCTGGTTATTTTCTTGCTCTTTCAGATATTTGCATTTAATGTCCACGTTCGTTATTCTGGGATTCAGGCAGGATTCAAAGGGCAAGTGTGTATCCCTTATGAACAAGCTGACACAGGAGAGGAAAACCAGACAGATTTCTGGATACACAAGGCTTTTCTCAGGTTTATTACAGTAGCAGCCAAAAGACATGGAAGCTGAGGACAATTGTTTTGAGTGTAGCTCTACCAGTGGGATTTACTGGGCAATTCAAGGGTTGAGGTGGCCAAACGAGTGCAACAGAAGGGGATGATTTTAGCCACTGTGGGAGAGAGAGAGGTTGGTATTTACTGCCTGCACAGCACCAAGTTAGCACAAATGCAGCAAAAACCTAACATGTCAGTGGAGTCTCTGAAACAGGTAAATGAAAAATACTGATTAATAAGCTCCAGTTGTCTCCAAAGATGGCAGCTGTCTTGCCTTTTGAGCCCTGAGAGAGGATGCTCACTGAGACAGGACACAGGCACCCACCCTTGGCAGCGCCTGAACCTGAACCCCGGGGTCCCTTTGCTGCACTGCTCTGGGGTCCCAGGCATGGGGCATGTTCAGAGCTGCACTGAGGTCCCTCTGCTCGCTGGCTCAGCGGGCAGGACTCCAGGTGCTCCGCAGGCTCTGCAAGACCCACACTGTGAGAGGAAGTTTGCAGTAGGGCTGGGAGTCCCTAACAGCAGCAGATCAACTTGTCATTACATGCTCAAGGGAAGTCCAGGCAGAAAGAAACCCCAATAAACACTGTCACTCAGAGAGCAGAAGGAAAGTTATTCTTCCTTTTTACTGGAGGATGATGCACAGGGAAGTAAGAGTCTCCTGCCCAGAATGATCAGAGTCTGTGGCACAAACCCTCCTCTCCAAAATACCTTGCCCCAGGACAGCTTCTTGCATGCTGGAGCCCTCTCTTACTGCACATGCACCCTGCATGCCTTCCCACATGGGTTCTTTTTGTGGCAGCCTGAGCAGAAGCCTCCACCTCCAGGGAGAGGAAGCAGCAGCTCTCTGCTGACACGGCCTGGGTCCTGCTCACATCTGCCCAGAAACGGGGACAAACATCAGACCTGTCACACAGACCATGCTTACACTGCTCTCCTTCCATGGGCCTCCCCCTGCTCTTCCCTTCTGACCTGGCTGAGGTGAGGATCTGTTTTCATGCAAGGACCTTCTCAGACTTTCGGGTGTGCAGGACTTTCCATGGCAGGTGTGGTGTCACCTACAAAAGACATGTTGTGGTGCAGGAACCAGTGACAGGAGGGCGCTAATTTTAACTAACCTAGACGATGCATACTGGCTCTCAGGAAACTTAAATTACTGAAGTTCCAGTCCTTCACAGGACAGACAGCATGCCAAAAAAATTACTTTAGATTCCGGCAAGTTGACGTTAGATGGGAGGGTCAGGACGTTCCTCTGTGGATGATCTCCAAGAGGATGTTCCCATTGCCCTGTGTTATACCCCCATACCTTTTCTAATCAAGGAAGAGGCAGTCATGAGTTCTGGCAAGTAGTATTTCAAACTCACTAACAGGGCTTCTTCCTGCAAACTCTAGCACAGAGACAGGGATGACAGGCAAACCAGGTGGAGGTTACCCCTCATCCAACATAACCCAGGGCCAAGGGCATTTGTAGGCCTAGGATAGCCATTGCGTGTCACTTCAGGTGCTTGGCTGCTCCAGGCTGGCTTGCTGTGCATTACCAGTATCACTCCATGAGCCAGCAATGTGCCCTGGTGGCCAGGAAGGCCAATGCCATCCTGGGGTGGATGAGAAGGGGTGGTTGTAGGGCAGAGAGGTTCTCCTGCCCCTCTGCTCTGCCCTGCTCACACCACATCTGCAATCTTGTGTTCAGTTCTGGGCCCTCAGCTCAAGAAGGACAGGAACTGCTTGAAGGAGTCCAGCAGGGCCACAAAGATGATGGAGGGAGTGGAGCATCTCCTGCTGAGGAGCGGCTGAGGGAGCTGGGGCTCTTGAGCTTGGAGC